CTCAGGCAATCCACTCACCTCAGCCTCCCAAAGGCGCGGGATTACAGGCTAAGCCACCGGGCCCGGCTAGCCCTAATATTTCAAGCATACCTCCTGTCCTGCTCTTTTTCCACTTCTTCCAGAGGAATGTGCCTGCAGCTCCCACAATGACCACTGCAAAAGCCAGGAATGCACAGAAGATCCAGGCTGGAGGGTACTTAGTGCGAGAAGGCTCTGAAAGGCAAGAGAGTGTGTGGTCACAGTCAGACCAGCTGGACTCCCACCTTTTCTGCCCCTCCTACCTCCGGCTGCTCATCTGAGGTCACACAGAGAGACCTAGCATCAGTCTGCTGCTCTACCAGACAGGAGAGCCTCTGCTGGCATCTAAGGGATGGGGGCACACTGCTGCCTCCAAGCAATGCCATCCCCCTGGGGGCAGGTGTCTTGAGGCCTCAGGGACTCAGGGGTCAGGACAGCTCATCCCTTAACTAGGTTATCTAAACACTAGAGGATAGAAATCAAGAACCCAGCATGTTGGAATGGGCTCCCTTCCAGAGGCTTTGCAAAGAGTTCCATGCACTGAAGGGGTTACTGGGACAGGGAAAATTGGTGGCAAAGATCTCAAGACCTCCTAGACCAAGATAAACCCACTGCCTCTGGTCTTGGCAAACTGCCCTGTATCCTTCGCACCAGGGCCAGGGCTACCACCCAGGTACCATTCCACTGCCTTCCGTGGTGACTGTGGGTGATGCCCCACCCTGCATGCCCTTGGGTACCCAGCCCAGGGTCAGAACTTGAACACCAAGTGGAACACACCAAGTATGAGTGAGAGAAGGAAAGCAGAATGGCTAGAGTGGTCACTGACAGAACAATGTTCCTATAGAACTTGGGTAATGAAATGAATTTTGGGGGCTAGCTGAAGGGCCTGCACCCCTTCCCACAGTGCCCTCAGCTCCTCCACCTTCCCCACACTGATCGGTCCACACCTATCACACCTTTGGTGGGTTGTGGCCCCACCCCAGCTTCCACATATTTCCGGAGAGGGTAGATGCAGCTCTGGGTCAGGAAGGATTGCTCCCTTCCCTCCTCCCCATCTGCAGCTCTGCTTGTTTCTGGCTGGCTTTTGCTGAAGTTGAAAAGCTCAAGTCTGCTGAGAAGGAAGTCCTGGCCATCATAGTTATATCGCCACTGTCCCCTGGTGCTCTGGTTTCCCAGCAACTCACACACCACTGTGGTCTGGAGGGTGTGTGACTCTGAAAAGAACTAAAAGTTATGAGAGGAAAAACAGTGGCCCTCTCTGCCTCCACTCCCACCACCTCCCAAAATGCCTGAAATTCCCTTCTCTACTGATAAACCCTCACTCATTCTCCAAGACATATCTTCTCTGTCATGCACATCCCCAGCAAAGTCATGCTACACCCACCCTCCCTCCCCTGCAGCAAGTGGCTCCCTCCCAGCATGCATTGTTTTGCCACAGTTCCACCTCCCTGATCACGTCTCCTCCTCCCTTATACACCCACTGTACAGAGCCCTCCTGAAGGCCCAACACAGCATGATGTTTAAGTCCCAGCTCTAGATGCTACCTACTGGCTGCACACCCTTGGCAAATATAATTGGATCTCTCCAAACCTTGCCTTCCTCACCTGGCAATTAGAAATACTCATAGTCCTTACCTTACAAGTAAAGATTAAATGAGATAATGCATGTCAATATTAATGTAGAACCTACCAATAAGAATTCAAGAACTGGCTGGGCTCAGTGGCTCAGCCTGTAATCCCAGCACTTTGGGAGGCTGAGGCGAGTGGATTGCCTGAGCCAGTGGATGTGAGACCAGCCCGAACAACTTGGCAAGACCTTGTCTCTACAATAAATAAAAAATTAGCCGGTCATGGTAGCGTACGCCTGTAGTTCTGGCTATTTGGAAGTCTGAGGCAGAAGGATTGCCACAGCCCAGTAGGTCGAGGCTGCGGTGGCCATGAGCATGCCACTGCATTCCAGCCTGGGTGACGGAGTGAGACCCCAACTCAAAAAATAAAAAATAAAAAAAATAACTAAGAATTCAAGAACTAGTAGCTATTATGGTAAAGTGTATTATTGGTAACAGCACAATGCAGAACACTAAGTAGGCCCTCAAAATTTTGATAGATGAAAAAAAATGCTGTAGGTTAGAAATACACTTTACAGCCGGGCTTGGTGGCTCAGCCTGTAATCCCACGCCTTTGGGAGGCTGAGGTGAGTGGATTGCCTGAGCCTGCGGGTTC